CGCAAGTCGACGCTGGTGGCGCGCCTCGACGCGGGGACGCTCGCGGCGGCGGCGGCGAAGCGCGAGCGCGCCGTCGCCGACGCCGCGGCGCCGCCCGAGCCGCGGCCGGCCGCGGCGGGGACCGTGCAGGAGCGCGCGCGCGCGGCGCAGGTCGAGCGCTACCTCGAGAAGAAGAAGGTCCGCGCCATGCTGCACCGCGCGCGGGCCATCGAGAAGGACCTGGCCGTCGCCGACGCGCCGGCCCTCGAGACGCGCGCGCGGCCCCTGGCCGCGGGGCCGCCGGGGGGGGGGCTGGCGCCGCCGCTCGCGGCCTACCGCCACCTCTCGCTCGAGACGGCCCTCGAGGAGGACGACGCGCCGACGGGCGGGCCGCCGCCGCCGGGCCTCGCGCTCCTCGAGGCGCGGTCGCGCGGCGCGCCGGGCGACGGCGACGGCGAAGGCGCGCTCGACCGGACGTGGGACGGCGACGAGGCCCCGGGCGCCGCGGCGGTCGCCGCGGCGATGGCGCGCGAGGCCGAGGCCCAGCGGCGGCGGGCCAGGTACCTGCCCCGGAGCGACGAGGACCCGTCGGAGTACTGCCTCCGCGACAAGCACCGCGGCGGCGACGCGCCCGCGCCCGCGCCCGCGCCCGCGCCGGCCGCGCCCGCGGCGAGCGCCGCGCCGCGCCGCGCCGTCGTCGAGGACCGCGCCTACGGGGCGTGGCGCGGCGACGCGCCGCGGGATGTCGACGGCCGCTCCGACGTCGCCGCCGTGCTCGAGCGGCTCCGGATCATCACGGACGTCGCCGGGCCCTACATGGCGAGGGAGCGCGCGGCGCGGGCCGATCCGCTGGCGGTGCCGATGGACGAGGCGTAACATTTCAGTAAGGCGCACTTGTAAGGCGTAAAGTTCTTAGTAGCCACCCTTGGGCGAGACGAAGGATGCGACGACGCCCGCGGCGTCGTGGGGGATGGCGGCGCACTTGGTGACGACGGAGACCCAGACGCGGCGGCGGTTGGCGGCGAATTGGTCGAAGTTCGTGTATTTGCGCAGGGACATTCGCACCTTCGGCTTTCTCACTTCATCCACGAGCGCCCCAGCGCGGAGGAGAGCAAGCCTGATGCGACGCTTCCGGAATGGTGGCATCCCGGACGCCGTCTCGACCAAATCGAGTGGAGTGTTTCCAAGACCAGTTTTCGAGTTAACGTCGGCGCCGCACTTGATGAGACCGGCGACTCTTTGCTGTTCACATGTTAATATGGCAAAGTGAAGGGCTGAGCGACCATCATGATCTTTTGCGTCGACGGATGCGCCGGCCTCGACCAGAACGGACATGACTTCTGCGCTCCGCGCTGCATGCAACGGCCGGGTCCCGTACGCAGCAGGCGCGTTCGGATCAACGCCGAGCTCAAGCGCCCTTCGCACCCAATACAAGCGATTACCCCTCAATAAGTCTATGAAGCGGTTCCTTGCCTCGATGGAACCCGGACTCTCGCGCAGCAAAAGATCCAGCGCCGCGCACTCCGCGCAGCCCGGCCCCACCCCATGGAAGCAGGGCTGGGGCTCCGTCATAGCCGCAGCTCGCCCAAGCCTAGCGGTGCTGCTCGACGACCTCGGCCATGACCTGCCCGACCGAGGTAATGATGCACTCATCGAGCGCTGCGGCCAACATCATCGTCGACGCGGCCGATTGTGCCCGGTGCCATTGCCCGCCCCGACCGTCGTCCCCCGGGCCACGCCCGCGCCCGCACCGACCATGCCCCGCCAGAAGAAGCCGCGGAAGGTCTTCAACGACCACATCGACGGGTGCCGCATCGTGCGGCTCCCGCAGGACGGCGACTGCTTCTACGCCGCCGTGTCCATGGCCTTCGCGTCCGACGGCCTGTCCTCGGCGGACTGCGCCGACGAGGCGCCGGCCTACGTCGGCGAGGCCGAGGTCGCGCGGCTGCGGCGCTGCGTGAGCCGGCGCGTCGACGGCGACGTCTTCGACACGTTCAAGATGCTCCACGGCGCGGGCCTCGACGACTTCTCGTTCATGCGGCGGATCCCCGACGCGGCCGCGCTGCGCACGAAGCTCTGCGTGTCCGGCGCCGAGAGCGGCACGAACCGCTGCGTCTGGGCCAACGACTTCGAGATCACGGCGCTGTGCGAGGCGCTGGGCGTCGTCGCGCTCATCGTCGACGGCGAGGCGTCGGACGCGGGCCGCTTCGTCGCGCTGCCGCCGCGGTCCTGCTGGGAGGACGACGCCCAGGCGCGGTCCTACGTCGTGCTGCTGCGGAGCGAGCGGCACCACTTCGACCTCGGGGAAATCGACGAGCGCTCGCTCTTCCGGGGCCTGGGGGGCGTGCCCAAGCGCGTGCGGCGCGCGTTCGCGCTGCCCGCGCCGGACCCGTCCTGCGCCGTGCCCGAGGTGCCGCGGCGGCGGGGGCCCGCGCCGCCGCCGCCGCCGCCGGATTTCAGCTGCCCGGCCTGCGCGCGGTCCTTCGCGTCGCAGCGGGCGCGCGCGGGCCACCTCGCCGCCTCCAAGCCCTGCCGCAAGAAGCTGGGCCTCGGCGGCGCGGCGAAGAAGCCCGCGGCGGTCAAGCGGCCCCGGCCGACGTCGCGCGCCTTCCGCGCCTACGAGGAGAAGTGGGAGCGGTCCGCGGTCCGGAGGCGCGAGCCCGCGGCCGAGGCGCGGCTCCTCGAGAAGTACGCGGGCCTGACCTTCACGGACGGCGACGCCGGCGCGACCTTCGTCGTGTCCGACGCGAACCTCGAGTGGTTCGGCAACTCGTGGACCGTGCTCTGCAAGCCGCCCGCCGGCGGCGCGGCCTTCGAGTCCTACGTCATCAACGCG